CACCCTAAGGCTCGGGAAGGTCCTATAGGAATCCATTTTGGGTTTCCTCATGTCGGTTTCATCCTTCTAAGTGTTAGAAGTCGATACCGCACACGCGAAACTCCAAAAGAGGACGGAAATAGGTCGAGCTAAAACGAGGCGGGCACCACTTCTAAGGTGCTAAGATAGTCGCAGGAAGACCCCTAAGGCTAGATCCTAATTCCTACGAGAAATACTAGACCTCACGAAAATTGAGGTCAACACAGTAGTATGGCTGTCAATTTCGGTGGTTTTGGATCGTTCTCTTTTGAGATTGATCTGAAACTCGGTTATATTTTCTTTTTCATTTGGTTTTGAGTTTTCGGTCAAAACTTAATTTTTGGTAAGTTTTTGGACTATACTCTTCAGGATCATTTATAACTCTTAGATTTTAACTGAAAATTTACTAAAATTCTTGAGTAGATGTTCAAAGGTCTACAGGATTTTTATCACTGAGATGCCACCATAATTCTTCTGTATTTCATGTGTGCCCAAAGTAGATAGGTAATCTTCTTTAGTTTAAACTTGAAGCCAACTTAATCCCTAAAGTGATGAGACTATCACAACTTCTGAAACTTTTCTGATGGGACTGCAATTAATATTGAAACTGATGTTTGAAACATTTTCAAAGAGTATAATTTTAATGTGTTTTTTATTCTCCTAGAAATTCATGCTTCATTAGTTTAACATTCTAAATAACGATAATTGCATTAGCTGATGGAGTTTTTTCTTAAAAGTTCTTGTTTTCTCTCTGTAGGTCCGCATTTCAACGAAGCCTGAAGGTCAGGGATCCAAAGGTATCGCTTGGCATCATGTTAACTGTTTCAGGGAGTTATTTCCATCAGTCGATATAGAGAAAGTGTCTGGCTGGGACAACTTACCTTTGCAAGATAAAGAAACTCTGTCAACAGTATCTAAGAAGGATGCAAGTACTGCTAGAAGAGGTAACTTATGCAATGAATTATCTGGAAAGTGAAAGGTTGATTGTGTCATTTTTTTGCTATTGACGGCTCCCAAGCCCTTGATGCGAAAAGTGGAGGATTGCAATAGATAGTTGACAGCCAGCGTAAACATTTTGTCAAACATGACATTTATATGTATCTATACGTGTATTTTTTTTTTAAATTTATTAGCGCAACGTACAAAAGAGGAAGTTTTGCAACATGAAAATTCAAGGGAAAACAAGCGCAGGAAAGTTGGTGATCAGAAGATTTCAAAACATTCTGTATCTGATGGAAATGAAACAAGTGGCGCTAATAAGGATCTTGAAAGAAAACTGGAAGAGCAAAACAAGAATTTGTGGGCTATTAAAGATGAGCTTAAGAAGCAGGTTACCACTTCGGAGCTACGTGAAATGCTTGAACTTAACGAACAAGATTCAGCAGGGTCGGAACATGATCTACGAGAGCGTTGGTGAGTAATTTATTAATTTGTTTAACAACAATGTTACATAAAACAACTCAAATTACATTCTTCATTCTTGTCAGGAGATGCGCAATATAGGTGTCATTTATAGGCAAATTTTATGTTCTGAAGATGTCAATTCTGTCTAATTTTTTGATTAAGTGACGTTTGATCCATTTTGATGGCAGTTGTATTTTGAACTCGATTTGTATAACATAATATTTGTAATTCACCATTTCAGTAACACTATTCTAATCGATTGTGAGAGTTCTTAAATAATTGTGATATTTTTGGGCATATCAACGCCATCTATTTTGTGAATGAGCGATGTTTGGATTATTTCCACAATGATTGAAGAACTTTGAAATTATTTTGTGTGACATTGCATCCCTTGTCCGTCGCCTTTAATACGTGTAGCTCGAGTCAAGATGGGCAACACCTACAATAGTTCCACCTAATTAATTGGATTTTTGGTTTGTAATGCTTGATGATTCTTATGGTCGAGGGGGAGTAATAGCTAATATGAAACACTACATTATTTTTTTCTACTAGGTCTCTCACAATGACTTCTCTATTTTTGTTCCTATTTCTCTGCCACTTTAGTGATTCGTAGAATCCCTATTACCTTCTCATCATTTTGTGGATTGCTATAATTACTCTGTAATTATTATTCTATTTATTTATTTATAGAATTTTGAAATTATTTTATCATTATTATTCTTTAATTTTGTATATCTTCTATAAAAGCTCTCCTAGGATCTTATAAATACGACACAAATATTGTTGTGACATACTCAATCAATTCTCTCCAATTTTTGTCATGATATTAGAGCTTTAGTTTTTTTTTTTTTAAATTTCTAATCCTCCATTGCTACATTCTTTTCCATTTTTTTTTTTTTATAACTGCAGCGTTCATCATTGCATTGCCGTAAATGTTTTTTATTATTGCAACTTTTGATGTATTGCTGTAAATTGGTTCCATTGGTACAGCGTTTATCGTTGCATTGCTGCAGCTGTTTCAGTTTTTATTGTTTTTCTTGTGCATAGAATTTGATTTTGCTCTGCATGGACAAACAATGACAACATTCACAGACCCTTACTCTAGGGTCTCAGCTTGTCTTGAAATTGAGGGATGCAATCTAACTCTAATGGGAGACTTGCAAAACATCTTTTCAGTATGTTGGTTGAATGGAAAGAATTATTTAATGTGGTCTCGATTGGTTTGCAAGAACTTGAAGGGAAGAAAAAAATTATATCATTTATAAAGCATTTGGAATTTGCAATTGTTATGTCTAAAAATTTTCTTATAAAATTGAAAGGTTGAATGGATATGTTCAATGAGACTCTACTGCACATAATCTCATACAACGTAATCTTGCAAATAATAATTTATAAAGAGGAAGCTTGATAATATTCTAATATGTGCTAGTGTTTGTAACCACATATGAATAACTTCTATTGCTGTAATTTTCAAGAATTATGATGCAAACTTGAAATGGATGACATTTATTCTTTAGCTTGAAGGGAAGTATGAAATGGCTGCATAATTTTCTCTAGTTGGGAGTCAAATTCACCAAGAATTTTGCTCTCTTTTCTTCTTCTTTCATTGCCACCTCATTGATTTGTTTCATAATACTTGCTCATCAATCTATGAACTTTTGTAAATTATTTTGTAATTATTATATTTCCGACTTGTTGGCCTATTTATTATTGAAATTACTTTGTAATTTCTTCAGTTTGTATTTTTTCCTTCAAATCTATACTCCCTAATAATATAAGATAGTGAAATATTACTTGCATGATTTTGAAATATACAACAAATGATAAAGAATAAACCCATTAGATAAGTAGAAGAAATTAGTGTTGAAAATCTATGAAGAAAATTTGGCTAGGTCTAAGGTAACATGTACGATTTTTTTAAAATAGTTTTCTGTTTAGTATTGATTTTAACACCTTTATGCAGTACTTAACAAGAATTGATTTTTTTCATATGTTAACCTTTCTGTTTTATGCCCTTAGTTACTTTTACCTTTTTAGATGGTTTTGGTACTCTCAGGTAATTTTTATTTTATTTACACTACACTTCATGGGCATAATCAAATATTTTTAGAATACAATCATTATTCTTAGATATTTAGAAATGTTAATCTACCTGTAATTTACGATGCATGTACTACTACTCAGTGCTAAAACTTCCAGAACGTGGTTATAGTTTTGTTTAGAATGCTTACTCATTGCATTAGTATTCCATGTTAAGAATATTAACATGTATGTCAATCAGCTCTTATGTATTTATATATCTAGCATGTAAATTTCAATTTTTACACGTCACCTTATCCATATGTGAAAAGGTATATTTCACTTGATGATACTTGCCGAACTAATGTATTGCGAATTTCTTTGCTTTGGTTTTCAAGTGCCGACGGAATGCTATTTGGAGCGCTTGAGAAATGCCCATTATGCTCTGGTTCTCTGCATTATTCTGGAGGCCAATATCGCTGCCATGGCTATGTGTCGGCTGAACCTGTGCGCCGGAAGTTGAAGTGGAAAATTCCGGAAGGCACGAGTAATAAGTACCTTTTAAAGGTTAGTCTAGGGTTTGCTTGTAAATGTAAATCCACAGTTTTCTGGGTCTGATTTTAAAAGTACTCTCTATGAATAACAATTTTGCAGTGGTTTAAGTCACAAAAGACTAAAAAGCCCAACAGAGTACTACCTCCTAAATCATCTTCTAATCATCCTGGTAACATATCTAGTGGCAAGCAGTCCCAACCGTCTACTAGTGAAAAATTGGAGGATTTGAAAGTTGCTTTAATTGGAGAAATTGGGAAGGAAATGGTATATTTTTTTCCTTTGATATGTAATTTGTCTTTATTTGTTTCTGAAGCATTATAGACATGTAAATGCCGAAATTTAAGATTTTATTACGAAAATAGATGAATAATATTCCTTGTTCCGTCACTTCCTTTAAAGGTTGCTAGCAGGCTTAGGAGTTGGCGTCGCATCTATTCTTTGAAAATCTGTGCAGATTACCATTTCTAGGATGTTATACCTACGACTTGCATTTTTACAAGGTTGATCTGTTTATGTAACTGAGAATCTGCAGGACGATTTGAAGCAAAAGCTTGAAGATTTTGGAGGAAAGGTTCATGCAAAGATTAACGAAGGTATATAATTTTCTGCTTAACAACTCATTGGAAGCTTGCATTTTTTGTTTCCTTACTTCACAGTTTAGACCTTGAATGCTTTGCATTTTTTTTTCTTAATGTTTTTTGTGACTATTAGATACTAGCTGCTTGATTGCATGTGGAGAGGTGCAAGTTTCGGACTCCGAAATTAAGAAAGCCAAGTATGATTTATTTTTCTGATACACATTTCACATCGATGAAAAATTTATTTTCTTTTATATTATTTCTTTAAATTTGTGTATATTCTATTCTCTAATTTGTCAGGAAGTTGAAAGTTCCAATTGTGAGGGAGAATTACCTTGGCGAATGTATCGAGAAACAAAAGAAGCTTCCTTTTGAATTATATAAACTGGAAATTTCCGGTGAGAACATGCGTGGAATGGTCACCGTAAAAGTGAAGGGGCGCAGTGCCGTACATGAGGCTTCTGGCCTGCAAAATTCAGGTCATATTCTTGATGACGGCAAAAGCATCTATAACACAACTTTGAATATGTCGGACCTATCGACTGGTATCAATAGGTAAGAGCCTTTGTAAGTGTATTTTTTTGATACATTTGTTTTTGAAATGTATGAATTTTGTATATATAATATACTTACTATATAGAAGCACTACGAAAAATTACCAAACATTTGGCGGTGTTATTAATTTTGAACTTTTGTTGATTGTACTTCATCATTTTGAGTTGATGCTTAAGGAAGCTAGTTAATCTTGACAAATTGATGGAGACTTCAGTGAGTGTTAAATGAAATTTTGGCCTTGCACTGTAGCGAGGGAAAAAAAATCTTGAAATCTATTTTGTCATCGTCATCAAAATCGGCTTCTTCTCCCAAAGATTTTGGATTGGTTTTATTAATCCTCCATCAATCCTTACTGAGTGTTACATGAAGTGTTAAATTCAATTTTTTTCAACTCATGTTGACAAGTTCTCACCTTGTTTGTTTGGCTATAGCTTTTCTTACAAATCCTTCCATAGTAATTATAGCTTTTTATCCTTTTATTTTATTTTATTTTATGACATCTATTATCCTTGTTGAAATCACATGGGTCTATTTTTCATGGTCGTCTTCAATAGATGCTTCCAATATTATTCTTAGTAATATCGTAGATCAATCTTAAGATTCTTATATCTTCTTCAGTCAAAAAAATTACAACTAATATCCAACCCAAGGATTTGTAAAGTGTATCGTTATTGTAATTATATTCTACTCTAGTATGATATGCTAAGGCACTTATCTATTTTAGCTTTTTAACTTCAAATCAAGTTATGCCCACTATATTCTTTTTTTTTTTTTTTAAATATATTCAGGGCACTTAAATCTACATGTAGAGGTATCTGACATTTTACTATATTGACAGTTAATTATTAACTTTGGTGAACTTAATTTAACATAGTTATTGATTATTTGCTTCAATATTCTTATGTCTCTTATAAGCAAGTAATCTATGCAAAGAATTTGATTCTTTCTATATTTTTCTATGAATTGACTTAGTAAAAAAAAATTTCCTTCATAATTGTTCCTTCCGGCAGAAAATCATATTAGATTCTTCTATGGCAACGTGAGTTTTTCTAAGCTCATGTTCCTTTATCCTGTGTTATAATGTAATTGTTCGATTCATTATTTCGACCACAAAATCTCCTTTATTTATAGAAGATTAATATAAAAATATTTTTTCTTCAACCATGTAGTGTTTTTAGTCATTGAAATTTCCTTAAAATTATTATTAATCAAGTTATCTTATATTGTATTAGCTTTTCTTGATAGAAGAACGGAGAAGATGGTGATTTGGCAGGCTGTATAATATCTTGAAAGTATCAAAGACAAAATTTGTCACCAAATTTCGTCTTTATAGGCATGGTTGCATGTCATTTCAGGCAATCTAAATTTTATTTAACTCTATTGTATTTGAGATACGGTCATGCTAAACAATATCTTGGCATCTGGATTTTCTTTTTGTGCGAGCCATCATTTTTTGATTAATTGCCCATATACCCTTTGAACAGTATATTTCAGCTTCCACCTGTGTTATGGTCTATGAAATTCAAAATAATTCTGACTTATTTCAATACTTCAAGCTATTACATACTTCAGGTCATTCAAGAGGACAGAGGGTCTAATTGTTATGTATTCCGAAAATGGGGAAGGGTTGGAAATGATAAAATTGGTGGGAGTAAATTGTCAGACTTGTCAAAGTCTCAATGCATTTTGGAATTTAAACGTCTGTTTCTTGAAAAAACTGGAAGCTCTTGGGAGGCGTGGGAGCAAGGGAGGTTTGAGAAACAACCTGGAAAATTTTGTCCTCTTGACATTGTAAGTTCGTATTCTGCTCAGTTACTTGAATGTTAAATAAGCTTTAATGCCTTTCCTGCTGCTCACAGTTCCTTGTAATTTGCTTACTTCTGTAGGATTATGGAGTTAAACCAGCATTAAAAAACAAAGAGCCTAAGAGCACGAAGAGCAATCTTGATCCTCAATTACAAGGCCTGATGAAGATGCTTTTCAATGTTGAGACATACAGGTTACTCTCTCTCTCTCTCTCTCTCTCTCTCTTTCTATTTTATTATTTTTGGGAAATTTACACACGTAGCACACAATTCTTATGTATGTACATATCTCAAACCCAAACATTCTTTTTTACATAAATAGCATTTTGGTGCTTTAATCTATGCATGAAAATGTGTATTTCACTTTTAAAATTTTGTAATAGTGCTATTTTTGATGTGATATTAAAGATTTGAGTGCTATGTGTATAAATATGGTAGATGTGGTGTGAGATATGTAAATAAATAAGAATTGTGTTCTTTGTATGTAAATATCCCTTTATTTTTGTTAATTTTTTTGTCTAGATACTCTCATTGTGTGCTCCTAAAAGCTCAAACCTCCCTTACAGGGCTGCTATGCTGGAGTTTCAAATCGACATGACAGAAATGCCCCTGGGAAAGCTCAGTAAGAAGAACATTCAGAAGGGTATGCAAACGTGATGTAGCCTGTATATTCTAGCCAAGAATAACCATTGACAGTAATACATAAAAACCAGAATCAAGCATAAATTTTTTCAGATCTGTGAAGTTTCGGAAGTTTACAATTATATATATAAATTTCTTTTTTTTTGTTGTTGCAGGTTTTGAAGCCTTAACAGAGATACAAAATTTATTAAATAATAGCAATCGACATGAACCAGCTGTTAGAGAAAGCTTGATTGTTGATGCCAGCAATCGTTTCTTCACTCTTATCCCCTCCATCCACCCTCATGTTATAAGAGACGAAGATGAGTTCAAGGCAAAGGTATGCCCTGGCTAACTCACTGACTTCCTCCATTGCCATAATGCTCGAGCTTCTGGGCCCCAACTATGGAGTAAAGTGTCAAAATAGTCCCCTAACTATTTACATGGGGGCTGTTTTAGTCCCAGTGTCTATATAAGTGCCCAATTAGGGTATGTTTGGGATAGCTGTAACTTATCTAACTTGGTCAAATAAGCTGCTGATCCAGACCCGCGTCTAATAAAAACATAAAACGGAGTTTCCAAATATGCCGAACGAACGCTCGAATCAAACGCCGGGCTGTCTTTTTCAAAATGCAAAACGCAGTATTAAGCTGCGCCAAATGGACACCTAGTCTCTGGATTATTTAAATTGACACTCTAATAGTCCTCCATGCGGACTATTTCGGCCCCAATTTAAGGAGTATGGGGACTAATTTGATACTTTTATAGACTCTAGGACTAAAATGGTCCTATGTAAATATTTGGGAACTATTTTAGCACTTTTCTCTTTTATTTGTTGTGCTCTTCTAACTTGTATCACCGGGTTTTCCTGGAATTTTTAGGTAAAAATGCTGGAGGCTCTTCAGGACATAGAAATAGCTTCCAGGCTAGTTGGTTTTGGTGAAGAAAATGATGAGACACTGGACGAGAAATACATGAAGCTTCAATGTGAAATTTCTCCATTGCCCCATGATAGTGAAGATTTTCAGATGGTTAAGAACTATCTTCTTAATACCCATGCTCCTACACATCAGGTTCAGAATGGTTTTCTTTGATGGCTTGGTTAATTTTCTTCAGTTGATTATGGGGCTTTTTGATATAATTTTTCTGGTTTTGTGATATCAGTACTGGAGCCTTGAATTGGAGGAGGTTTTTGCTCTGCAGAGGGAGGGAGAGTTTGACAAATATGCACCATATAGAGATAAACTGAAGAATAAAATGCTCTTATGGCATGGTTGGGTTTTTTCTTTCTTGCTTATCTATTAATGCTTCATTCGATAAAACCTTGACAGTATTGTGTTTTTGTTGTGCTATAAGAAACCTAATCATCATACTATGCTAAATAATTATATTTCGTAAGTTCAAATGCTCATAAATTTATAGTGAAGGCTCCTGTGAAAAGTATGACCGCATTTTGTAAAAAAATAATATTTTAGGTATGTAAACCCATATAAATCAGCACTCTTTTCTGAAAACTCAAACAAGCGATAGGATTCACCAAATGAAGCCTGAAAAAATTGAGATGGCGATTCATGATCTGCTATTATAGTGAATAGTTTTCTTTAACTCCTATACTTGATAGAAATTCTAACCGGAATTATCCATCGTTGCACGCTAATATTGATATTTTTCTTGCATTGAGAAAAGTATCAAAAAGGTCCCTTGACTCTTTATTGGGGGGTCATTTTACTTCCAAAGTTTTTAAAAGTGTCAATTTAGTCCCCAATGTTTTTTAATGTTGGTTGAAATAATCCCCAATGATGATTATTTTAGTCAATATTAAAACTGTTTGGGGACTAATTTAGCACTTTTATACACTCTGTGACTAAAATGACTACATGTAAATAGCCAGGGGGACTATTTTGCCACTTAACTTCAGTCCTAGCATCCTTCACATATCCGTTAAAAAGCTTAGAAGCATTTGCCAACTTGTTGCAATGTCGATTTCACAACTTACATATATGTTGAAAGTAGTCTTCTAAAACTTGAAAGCTCTCAACAGGTTCTCGACTGACAAACTTTGTTGGCATTCTCAGCCAAGGATTGAGAATAGCTCCTCCCGAAGCTCCGGTGACCGGATACATGGTGATTCTCTTCCCTTGCTTGCTTCCACTTGTCTTCTAATGATACTATTGGTGGTATTATAAGAGAACCGTCTTACGTTTATGGTTTTTCTTTGTGCGACAGTTTGGAAAAGGAGTTTACTTTGCTGATCTTGTGAGCAAGAGTGCACAGTATTGTTATGTTGACAAGAAGGATCCAATTGGACTAATGCTGCTCAGTGAGGTTGCTCTGGGAGAGATGTATGAGCTCAAGGAAGCTAAGGTGAGCGCTCTAACAAATCCATGAAATGTCCGCTTACTCTTTTCATTTATGTGCAATGAAGTGTATTATTATGAAAAAAACTAGAATTTTTGAAACTGTTGTGGGCGTTATAATTTTTTTCTATTGAAATAAATTGGATGATAACATTCTTAGAGCTATCATATGTAAACTGTAGCAGATACACTGAATTAAATGGCTCATGTCATGATTTTTTTTCGACAAAAATTTTATGTTGGCTGCGAAGATGAGCTTGTAAAATGTTGTTTCTCAGTTCTCACCATTGAAATATTTGAAATGCTTCAAGAACTTCTTGTTAAAAACAGAACGGTGGCAGCTTTCTAGAAAACATGGATCTTAATTATGCAAATCACAGGCTGCTTCCATCCAAGTTACATTGACTTATTTCATGAGCATCTTTTTGTGCGGCTGACCATTTTGATTAAATAATTTTATTGCATTTTGAAACTGAGCTTGTGCATTTGATTGCTGCGACTTCATGCTCATATTAGAAATTTTTTTAGGAAGATTTACCTACATACCGATCGATTCCTTTGTATTCACATATCTAACACCCAAACTTCAATTCTTACAATATACCACCTTACATATGAATAAAAAGGTTTATTTCACTTTTTAAAAATTCAAATGGTAGCATTTTTTATGCAATGTGAAAGATTTGGGTGGCATGAATGTAAAAAGTGAATTTTTGGTGTTAGATATGTAAATACATAAGAATTGAGTGATATGTATGTAAAGCACATGCTTTTGATGATCTGTAGCTTGAGTGATTATTCAATTTGTTTTAAAAGCTTACTGCAAAATCCGTTTTCGAGTTGTTTTCTATTCCTTCCAACTGCAGTTCATAGAAAAGCCACCAAAAGGAAAGCATTCAACAAAAGGACTGGGAAAGACTGTTCCTCTGGAGTCAGAATTTGTCAAGTGGAGAGATGTCACTGTCCCTTGTGGGAAGCCAGTGCCCTCTTCGGTTCGAGCATCAGAGCTCATGTATAACGAGTACATCGTCTATGATACTGCACAGGTTAGTATTTGATGACGAGAAATTTGTCAAAATGATCCCTGACTCCTTTGCAAGGTCATTCTAGTCCCAAAGTCTATAAAAATGTCAATTTAGTCCCCAATTATTTTAATTGGAGCTAAAATGGGACTAATTTGACTTTTTTATAGATTCTGGGATTAAAATGACCCTATGTAATTAGTCAGGGGATTATTTTGACATTTTACTCATTTGATAACCTAAAAATGCTCATTTTTATAGGAATGAGGTTTATTTTCTAGATTAAATGATCAAAATTAGCATTGGATTTTACAAGTGTGTTTATTTTTGTTTCAGAGTCTTTTATTTGTTCAATTTGGCCGCTCAACTCAATAGATTTCAACCATTTTGGTACCAAGTTTTTGTTATTTCTTTTGATAAAAATTGGAAGGAAGCTTTTTATGAGTGCATTTTGAATTTTTTAGCATCAATCTCATTATAATTTGAGTTGGTATTATATTATGAGATTGATCATAAAATCTAAAATGTTCTCTTAAAAAACTTTCCTCAAGCAATTTATGTCCATAGAATGTTGACAGCAGGACATATTTTGTTCAGATTTGGTAAGTAGAGAGGCTAAAGTTGACACCTTTATAATTTTAGTGTCCATTTTGATTATTTACTCTCTTTTAATCATCTTTCCTAACTTTTGCTTATTTTGATGAAACACATTTCTCACTTTGATAATTTAACAGATAAAGATGCAGTTCCTGTTGAAGGTGAGATTTCAACACAAATGGTGAAGGAAATATGGTGAGTTAAAAATGTTTTTGGTTGTAATTTTTTGAGGAATTATGGGGGATATAAGATGCAATATTCAATTTTTATTTGACACTCAACAGAGCCATCTTTACTTGGGTGGTTGCGAGTTTTGGCCTCCCCCATACTATCCTATGTACGAGTTTGTTTTGTGATCCTCTTGTTACCGTAAAAGTAATCATTATGTTTCATAATTATATGATAAACTCTAAATAATATTGCACACTTGTTAGGAAAATCTTTGTATCATCTTTTTTTGAAGTTAAAAGTTTGGCTAAAGATGCAAAATTTCTTGTTCTTCACCACCTACACGCTTGGACAGGACAACACTTCTGATACTAACATTAGTGAACTCAATTTAGCTTTGCCCAAATATAAAATGTTAGTTATGATTATAAGCTTTTCTTTATAGAAAATTGATGAGGCATGTTAATGATTGTTAGAAACATAATTCTCTTAAATCAAAATTCAGTGATTTTGTTCCAAGCAATACATATCATCTTACTTTACCTCAATTCACAAAGTGCCTATCTTTCTAATGTTATTTACATAAAAGAACCATGGTATTTACCCTTCATTCATAAATATTATAGTTTTACATTCACAATCTTTAATATATTATTGTTCTTGTTAACTATAGTACATAACTATATCCTTACTATAGTATATATATTTATTTATGAAAAGCCCAAGGGTTGATTTTATTGAAATAGAAAGATACATAAATGTTGTATGAGAGGGCCCAATAGACTCCCTACCCATACGATATCAAGTACAGTAATACCCCAACAAAAAAGATACAGATAAACTCAAAAAAATTTAAAACATGTAGAAAACAATTAGGCAAGTAGCAAGTAGCTAAGGACGAGCCAGTTTAGCCTTGCCTCATCCTCTAGTTTTAGGAGCAGATCCAAATAATAAATTTTGAAGTGTCATGTCATTGCCAGGAGTAATCAAATTATCATCCATTAAGTTTTCAAGTTGGGGTGTGTCCCTAGCCTTCTTCCGCCGTGAAGTGTAAATCTGTCATTCTGATTAACTATTAGAACCACAGTAGAAGGAAAGACAGTCGTTGTCACAGTGATAGGTTCCAACGTATGTGAAGCATCAATTGTCATATTTGTACCTGATGCTTCCTGAATAGGAGCTGCGAGGCTATCCTGATTTTCGGTTTGAACATTATCCCTTATAGTATGGTCAGGAGAAGGGTTCCCAGGGGCAGATACCTACTCCTGTCTTGTCGTTATTCCCTTCTCAAGTTGGTTGTCATCAGGTTTGCTGGGAGTGCGTTCAGACACGTGGGGCACACTGACAACATGTTCATGCTTTTTGACTATTGATTCTCAACTGTAGGTGCAATCTGAAACATTTCTCTTGCGACTGTCCAAACATCTCGCAGTGGTTGCAGTAGTAAGGTTTTTGTCCCATAATGATTTTTTGTCAATAACCATTGTGAGTAGAGTCAAACTAGACTTCTTCTACATCTGATAGTGTAATATCTCTTTCAATCAAAATCCTTGCAATAGAGGGCATTGAGAAATGAACTGTAGGTATGTCTACCTGCAAAGGTTTTCTAAGAATAGTCCCAATTGCATATAAGATAGGTAGGTCAAAGAATTGAAGTTTAACTTCAGGTAATGAGAACCAGATAGGTGCAATTGGGGGTTCTTGACTGGGATCAAAATCAGGGGTCCATTTGAGCAATTTCATATGATTGCTCTCGATTGCGATGAATTTCTTTGAAAAAATCTGTGTAATATTCTTCTATGCTCAGCTGTATCATAACATGTCTTCCGTCGAAAAGACCCACCTGTCAAGCCTCAACTAGTTTGAAATCTTTAAAAACCTTCCTGATAATCTCCATCTTAGGGCGATCTAATTGGAACTTTCCAACTAGTGTAAATTTGTATTTTCCTGCACGATTTGAAATTTCAGTGTCAGAGAAGAATATTGCTGGTTTTCCCGTCTTTTATTCTACTTTTTTTATGCGATTTTAATCTTCATGTCCTGCAACAAAATTATGGTACATCTGCGGAAAGATCGGACTATCTGCGAGGTGGAAATGAGAGTTGTGTTTGTGAAGCACTGTAGCATCAGAGGGTTTGGCGGGTTTCTCATCGACGAGGGCGGCAGCATAGAAAAGCCCTGAGGCCATTAGGAAAGCCCGAGGACGAGAGGTGAGGACTGGAAGGCGTTGTCGCACGAGCAGCAGACGACACACGACGACGACTGTAAGGCGCGACCGCACGAGCAGCAGACGAGATGCCCGACGCAACCGCATGAACAGAGACGAGCAACGAAGCAGACGACACACGTCGACAATAGCAACAACGATGAATCAGACGGAAGTGACGAAAATTGATAAACAAGGAGCAGAGCTTGATCAACGAAGAGATGCGGTGGAGTAATAACCAGGGATCACCATGACGAAACCCTAGCACAGCGTGATCATTAGCGGGAGTGCCATCATATATATATGTTGGCTCGATAATGAAATGTGGACCAGGTGGTTTGATCTGAACTCAAATCAAGCTAATTATGGCTCATTAACTTTGATAGGAGCTCGAGCTAGCTCAACTAAAGGAAATGTTGGTTCATATCAAATTTAATTCAAGCCTAGATTACAATATTCATAGTTGTTATCTATCTGAGGAGCACACTATAATATTGGCATCTCTTTGTTTTTGATACATTTATAAAAATGTATTCTTCCAATATGATTTCTAATATGTCTATTAACCATATATTCATGATCTTTTTTTTTTTTTGATAATTATACAAATGTTTAACTCTCGAACAATAATTGAATCCCTTAAAACTCATAAGTTAGAATTTGGTCTAGAATTTGAACAATAAAAATCAAAATTTTAGTTTGATGGCTTTCATTTTAGTAGATCTAAAAATGAATACATGGAATGTAATTTTTGTGGTGGGGTTAAAACAATGAGTGATCAAGTCATTGAAATGGGAGAATATTTTAAATATCTTGGGTGTATTGTCCAATGTGAAGGTAATATTTATTGGGATGTTATTAGTAGAATTCAAGTTGGACAGTTAAAGTGAAGAAAAACACCATGTTTATTGTGTGATTGAAGAACATCGCTTCAAGTTAAAGGAAAATTTTATAAGATGGCGATGAAACCTCAGTGCTTTATGATACAGAATGTTAAACTTATAAATGTGAAACATACCATTGCGTTGTTGAAATGATTACACTCGTGACAAAGTGCGAAACAAATATATCTGTGAAAAGGGTTGGAGTAGCTCTAGTGGCAGAAAAGATTAGAGAGTTACCTTAGATGGTTTAGGCACATTAAACATCACATTTGATGATCTTGTTAGAAAATTAGATGTTTTAGACTTTACTTTTGTTAAGAACGATCGAATTAGATCTAAAAAGAAAGATGATTTTAATTTGTTAGAATTAAATAAAAATGTGACACTCAATAAAACACAATGGAGAGAAATGTTTCATGCAACTGACTTAATTAGTGTGATAAAAACTTGTTGTTGTAAATATTTTTTCTCTATTTTATGGGCATGATTAAAGAAAAAAATAGATTGTTTATTCAACTAAAAGTTTATTTAAAAAAAAAAATTGACTTTTTTTTATATAAGTGAACTTTTGGGAATCATTTGGTTCTCATTTTTGTAAATATTTTTATCAAAGTTTTTGGATATATTTAGTATTTATTAAATATTTTTCTATTATTTTAAAAGCTTTTGTGTATCAATAAAAGAACTTGTATAAATTTAATAATTAAAATATAATTAATCTTATAATTATAAAAAAATCTTTAATCAAAGTTTCTTATAAATGCCCATCCTTATTCAAATCTCAAAGAGAGAGAGAGAGAGAGAGAGAGAGAGAGAGAGAGAGAGAGAGAGAGAGAGAGAGAGAGAGAGAGAGAGAGAGAGAGAGAGAGAGAGAGAGAGAGAGAGAGAGAGAGAGAGAGAGCTTTGGAAATTAAAAATCTAGCTTTTGTTATTCCACAAACATTCATTAATAATAAGCTGGTAATTTTTTCAAATTAATTTTGTGTTAATTAAAATTGAAAGGCAATAATTAGAAGGGCTGTTGACATATAGATAAGATTATATATTTAACAGATTTAATGTATGTGACTTGTAAAGAATGAAATTGTCAAAATTTTGATAGAGCCCTCCTTAAAATGAAGACCAATTGTTTCTTTGAAATTTTAGAGAAAAAATATATATAATTTTTTTGACATCTAACAATTTCTTCAGACTGATATTAATTATGATGGGATCTTATCAAGGTGCATTAGCTCTAAGTTTTTGAAAATTAGATCAATTAGTCAACTAAAATGAGATGTTTAGAGGTAATTGTTTACTCAAATTGAATTGGATGATGTAATAAATATAAAAATATTTTAATATATTTGAAATGACTAATAATGATGCAATTAAAATTCTTTCATTAAACCAATATATAACATTCTAATTTAGGAAATTTTGCTCTGGAATAGAAGATAATTTTAAAATAACATTTAAAAAATGATTATTGATATTATTATTTATTCTTTATGTAAATCATTTATTTTTTATTTAAGTCATTTATGAGATGGTGGTGAGATCTGCAATGCTTTATGGGGCAAAATGTTAACCTATAAAAGAGAATCATAAAACTAAGTTAAGTGTTGTCGAGATGAAAATGCTTAAGTGGATGAGCGGCTTTACACTTATAGACAAAATGAGAAGTGAATATATCCATGAAAGGGTTGGTGCATCTCCATTAGTAGACAAGATTTAAATAGAGTCGTCTTAGATGGTCTGGTCACATTGAACGTTGACCATTTGATGATCCAATTAGGATGGTAGATGTTTTGTTTCAGCTTATGCTAATAATGGTAGAGTTAGAACTAAAAAACTTGGCCATTTTGTCTAAAAAGAATTTTAATTTATTAGAATTAAATGAAAATATGACACTCAATAGGATACAATGGACAAAAATGATTCATGTAGTCGACCTCATTTAGTGGGATAAAAGCTTATTGTTGTTGTTGTTGTTGTTGCTGTATCAAAATTAAGAAAATAAAAATTGATCAATATTAGAACCAGATGACTCATTACAGACTGAATTGGTTCACCGGTTCAACTTTCGTCCAATTTTATGTTAAAGAAAATGTGGATACAAACTAAACAGAACGATAAGACTTATTCATGGTTGAATTGGTCGAACCAATTGGTCCAACCAGACTCAACCAATACATGCTCCTTAATCTTCCAATAAAG